AACATTAATATATGTCGCACCTGGGTGATCAGTATGTCAAAAAATTTGCTATACTTTCTAGTTTTAGAAAACGTCGAGAGTACCTTGCTATCTAGTTTAGTTTTTGAGATATTGCAATTAAAAGGCGGAGGTCCATGGTGAAAGACACTGTACTATGAAATCACGTGAATGGCAAACCAAATGTCTTAGGCAAAGGCTACTTCTATTAATCCAGAAATATTAAAATAGTGATTATCTAGTGTTTTGGTCCAATTTTGCATCATTTCATTAACAAATCGATGTACACAAATGGCTTAAAACAAATGGTATCAATTGTGTTAACCATAACGACAAATCCGCCTAACGTTCCCTATGCCTGGCCTACCGATCTATTGAGCGCTTCTGAAGTCTATGCAATATAGGACTCTATTAGGTCTAAAGTTATTAAAAATGTTCATAAATGTTGTTAAATCTGGAATAAAACATGTACTATCTATGTCAAAGTATTTCAAACTCGTATCCATGCACTCATGAGGATTGTCAAGAGCAAAGTCAGAATAATAGATGATAATGGAGTGATGGCTTTATATAAACTCTAAGACTAGTTCCATATATTGTAGTTTACTTGGGTATAAATTCTTTTTAGGTTTCTATAAATACTTTTCTAAATATTAACATTTTTATAAACGGGAAGTATATAATGAGCAGACCTTATTTGATTTGTAACACCATTTACTGTATATTAACTGAAATACAATTTAGTTGCACTGTATACATTACAGTAGATGTTTAAATATTATGTAAGGATTTTATTGTAGTTTTAATTGCCTGGATTAAAATATTTGTAGATACTATGGATTATACAGCATAGGATTGTATAGACCTGATGTGATCTAAAATTATCATTAAAGGCAATAAATTTATATTTTAGTCCCAAATATAATTAAATTTACATTTCCAATTGTAAAGGACACGTATGCGCTATTTTCACAGTGAATCTGATAGCTACCATAAACATCTTTAATAAATATTTGCCACGTATAAGTAGAATATCGCCATTTCATTTCATTGTCAATAGTTTGTGCCATAGCGGAATAATCATCACATATATCAATGGCACCAAGTACAATCTTTTTTACATCCGATAGCATTGTTTCATTCATTTCGTTTTGTATAATATCTAATTCACGCTTTATTTTCCCACTTTGAAACCTCAGCTTTAAATCATCAAAATTGGACTGTATGTATGTTTAGAAATAAATTTAAGTTTATAAATTTGATAACGTATAGTTTTCAAACATACCACGGGGTGTGAATTATAGATTGTAATACTCAATCGGTCGAACACTACTTGTAAGTAATACTTCTTATAGCTATAGAAAGAACTGTATTCATATCGTTTGCCAGCGATTACATGCCAACCATCACCAAACTCATCCACCAACTTTTCTTTCAAACTCTTAGAAAATGCAAAAAATGAATTGCATTCAAGAATATATTGGCGAATGAATTGCATTATATTCGCAGTCATATCGTTATCGCATTTATTGTCAATAATTTCATGATCCAAAATATTTGCTCGAGATGATTTAAATATTGCAGCAGCATCGACCTACAATACATGCAAAATATTATTTTAATCAAATATCTGTTAATTTCAGTTACCTCTGAATTTCGGGTAGTATTTTGAGCTCTCGCTGGTGACATGACTGACATATTTGATCTAGTTAAGTTTAATTCCTTTTTTAATTTATTAATTTCCACATTCTTTTGACTTAATTCCAAATTTGAATTCTTAAGCAATGCTCGTAATTCTTGAACACAATTATGACCTGGTGTTTTTATACAATCACACTGGTCGCATTTAATTGTATTAAATTTGCAATTGACTGTGTGCTGGGTCAAATGTTCCAATTTGACGACCTCTTTGCAACCTTTATCTTTGTAATCACAACTGATTTTCAAACTTTGTAACATATTTACGAGTGCCCTGAATAAATATACATTTTCACACAAATATTTGTAAATTTAGCAAGGCTAAATGGTAATTTATTATTTAGATATATTTTAACAGTACCTTGGTGGTCGTGTTAACCCACTCGTAGTTAACGGTTTCCTATCTTGTGGACAGGTATTGTTAGTGTGAAGCCAATCGTGTATACACCCCTCGCAATACATTTGTAAGCAGCAAGGTGATACCACTGGACAGCATAGTATGTCCTGACATATACTACACGTGAGTTCATCCCTTTCCGATTCACTCAAATTCAAAAACCGGTCGATATTATAACCGGACATTACAAGCAATGATAATTTTGTGACTTTTAAAGTTAACAGCTATAAGTGTATATAAAATATTTAATTTACATTATAAATATATACAGTATATTATAAATGGCAATATTTTATGACAATACATAATGACAGCAAATATCATATATTAATTGATAAAAATTACACTTCACCAGGGTAATTATTTAGTAAGCAATAATTTATTATCGAAAAATAAATAATGTTATACAGTAGATCTATTAGTGAGAATTATATTTCTATATACAGTATAATATCTATTTTGTTATCATTTCTGCAATCATTGCAATTAAAATGATTTTATGTGCATTTCATTTTCTAACAATAGTTTCATTTATTACAATACATTGTCCATTCATTTACATGTGAATGAGAGTTGATTTAAGTTTAATTTATTTTAAAATAACATTTTATTTAAAATAATTGTTTAACTCATGAAAGATTTATTGAGAAGCTTTTTATATTTTGTGTTAAAATCACAGAATATTTTGTGTATTGGTTAAGAATTTAATAAATTTTACGTTTAGTGAGTAAATATATTCAATAAATTGAATGCATTTCAAAAGATAGATTATAAAATAAAATAATACAGTAATACAAGATTTGAAATAATAAAATACGATAACACACACCGGCCTACTCGGGAGTCCCACAAAATCCTAAAAAACAAAACCCCGAAATACAAAATCCCGAAACACATAATTCCGAAAATTATAATATCGATATAAATAATTACTTTATATTTTATATAATGTAAAACTCATTAATATTATTAGTATAATTATTTAAAACCTAATTAGTATCATACTTGTAAGTAAATATCTTATCAACTTTTCAATATTGTAATAATTTGTTGAGTTTTAATACAAATACTGTAAAGTACTAACTAACTTGTAATTATTTTATTTTGTTATTTCTATATTTGTTTATTATTTTATGCAATTCTCTCGATTAATAAATACAGTTTTGTTAATCAAAATGTGGATTAAAACTTATACAATAAAAATTTGATGCGAATAATAATTATCAATATGGACAATTTAAAATATATAAAATTATTTATTAGTCCCAAATATAGCAAATTGAACATTTCCCATTTTAAATGACACAAATGTACCTCTTACCTTTTGAAAGCAATATCTGCCGTAAAAATCTAATGTAGATATTTGCCAATTATATGCACGATATTTGCGATGCATTTCTTTGGATACAGTGGTTATCATTTTGGTCCAGGAGTCTTGCTTTGCAATAGCATCAAGCACAATCATTTTCACGTCCGATAACATACTTTTAGTCATATCGTTCAATATGATTTCAAATTGCCGGTTTATTTTGCCACTTTCAAACCTCCGTTTAAATGAGCCATAATAGGACTATATATGAATTTAATATTATATGTTTGAACGTATTATATATCTATAATACTTACATCGTGTGTCATATACATGACAATAAACAATTGATCGAATTCCACGCTTAAAAAGTGCCCGCAATTCAAAAGTACAGTTCGAATCGAATTCGTATTTTTTGCCAACGATTACATGCCATGTCATGGTCACCAAATTCATGATCCAACTGTTGCTTCAAATGTTCAGACAATCCTATTAATGAATTGCATTCAACAATATATTGCCGCATATATGGCACCATCTTGGCAATCAATCCAGGGTCACAATTGTTTTTATTAATTTTGGACTCAAATAGGTTAGCCCGAGCTGACTTAAATAATTCACCAACATCCACCTATAATATTTGATTGTAATATATAACAATTAATATTGACTAGTTTATTTTCGTTTTTAATAAGCTGCTTGGGTTAACTTATATTGTAATACCATGCTTGCTAATTCAAAATACCTGTGAATTAAAAGTAGGATTTTGAGTACTCGCGGATAATTGGCAGTCATTTTGTTGAATAGTATTTAATTCGTGTTTTAATGCATTCATTTGGATATTCTTTTGACTTAATTCCAAATTTGTATTCTTAAGCAAAGTTTGTAATTCTTGCACACAATTATGACCAGGGTTCTTCATACAATCGCACTGGTCTCATATTGACACATTATATTTGCAAATAACAATGTGCTTGGTCAAGTTTTCCAATTTGAGCACTTCATCACAACCTTTATCCTTATAATCGCAACTTATTTTTAAACTTTGTAACATATTCACCAGGGCCCTAAAATGTGAACATTCATATTTGCAAACTTTAATTGATATGTAAAATAGTACTTAAAATGTAAAATAAATTGGACAGTTTTTAAGTGAGCAAAACATTTAGTAGAAAATTCTACTTTATTATTATTATTCACTTAATTGTCATATCAGTTAAATATGATATGAATATTTAGTTTACTTTTATCATAAAACTGATTTGCATTCAATTAACGTTTTGTTTAATTCACTTGAAATAGTATTTTATAAAAAATAAACTTTTATTTAAAATATAATTTATGTTTTGCGAGAATATTTTGTGTATTGCTTTAGAATGTACAAGATTTTATACTTTATCAGTACTCATACAGTAGTGAATACAAGTTTGAAGCTTACAAAACATTTATTAGAAAATAAAATAAAATTCTATTTGAATTCTAGAATAAAATGAAATGAATGCTTTAACAAAGTATTTACTTTCAATCAATTAATATACTATTTGATGTGTAACTCCAATTACATTAAATGTGGTGTCAAACATCAAAATATTTAATAAAATATGTGCTTAAAATTGTCAAAATACACCGTGTTTCACCATTAGCGGATAAAGGTTCAGGCTCATATCTCGAAAACTAGATTTGATATCAAAACTCTGTAAACGGAGTTTGAAACTAGAAAGTATGGCAAATTTTTTGACAT